TATATATATATATATATATATATATATATATATATGTATGTATATACATTCTTTCATTCTTGGATTTCCTCTTTTTTACTTTCTGACTACTCTCATCCCTGTTAACCATTTTGTATTTTCTATGTACTGTTACCAATTAATTTTTTATCGCTTTTGTAACTTTTCTTTAGTTCACCCTGCTATTAATAATCGGCTATAAGCACAAATAAGTCTCATCTATTTTTTAAACTTGTCCTATTTCATTTTCAGTGTTATAGTTGTTGATTCTGTTGTGTACTATTTGTTGAGAATTTTTCTTCCAGTTTTATCTCTTAGATATTTCTTGTAGATGAACTGAGTGTGGATGAAACTTTTAAACGAAGGAGCCAACTTTTTGAACAATTGACAGAGTTCTTCCCTGATTCCATGACTCAACCAAAAAGTAATCTCATTGATTTGATATCACTGTGAAGCTCTTCATCTTTGTATATATTCAATTAGCCTATCTGGATTTGGCTCTGTTTGTGCCAATTGTATATTTCCTGTACATTATCAACCGTAGAGATGTGCCTTCTATTTTTGGAAATCGTTCACTTTATTTGAAGAAGAAAAAAAAGAAGCTGGTGAAATAAAATTTTATCTCCTATTATTATTGTTGTGTATTTATTAGTTAAGTATTGCATCAAGTGCAAATTTCTTTGTTAATAAATATGTCTCTTTTTTTTTAAATTATTTTTCTCACTATAAATAGTACCTTTGATCTTAATGTGAAATGTCTAGCCAAAAAACTAATTTCCAAATCCGTGGTTTTATTTTATAACCGTCGTTGAACAGCCAACCCAATTTTTTGTGCCTATGACTATTAATGTTCAACTACTTATCCTTGTAATTTTGAACCCAATCCAGAAGACAATAGGACTTCTGGATCAAGTATTGGGAGAAATTTGTCTTCGTGAATGATATTTTGATGGAACTAACCCGCATTTGAGTTACATGAAGAGGAAGGCCACAAGAACCTCCCACAGTTAACCAGACGGCTAGGAGACTTTTTTTTTATCTTTCCTCCAAGCCCTGAGCATGTACCTAGGTGATACAAAACCCTTAACCATATAGCCCAGGACTTGGCCATTAGTCCAGCTCCACTGCAGCTAAGGAACGGGTCCAGTCAGCAGTATTAATTTTGATGTGTACAAGACAATATTTGCAGTAAATAAATAGTTACAGTGTATAAATACAGTGATATAGAATTTGCTACATAATAATCTCATTGAGACTATGCTAGGTTGTATAATATACACATCAGAGGAAGAAAATAACATAATGATGTTCATTATTTTACAAAGAAATCTTTAAGAATAGTTGTTTACAATGAAAAATTTTCTACTTAACATGATATTTAAAAGAAGAAAAAAAAATTATTATTTTTTTTTTGAACTGAAAGTGTGGAAATAAGAAGAAGAAAAAAGACAAAGAGAAAAAAATTATACATGTGAAATAAGAAGCTATTAAAATTTTAATAGATAGTCATTATCTGCTAAAAAGTTCATTACTGTTATTAATCTTTTGGTTAAAGTATTGTTTCTAATGAAATTTTTCTGCCAAATTTCTAAATTTGTTGGGCTAGGCTGGCAAGTATACCAGGAGACAGTATAGGAACAGCTAGTGAGATAATGTTCAGGTGAACCTTGTTGGCCGCAGGTGCAAAGATCAGTATCTGTTATATAGGTGATTCTCACGAAACATGAGAATTCGGACCAAAAAATTTCTTCAAATTTAAAGTCTTCAAAATAATCTAACAATTTTTTGTATACTTCTTTAGTTACATTTATTAATGTCTTACAGACAGCAGTGCAGTTTATTGACATTTGCGCGAGAAAAAAAAAATAAAATAGAAATTCACCAAATCTTGAATCCCAGGAAAATGACATATTAGCTTAGAAGTTTAAAAAACAGTCATTTTAAGTTAATAGTAAGTAACTCAACTTAAGCCTTTATGTTAGATGGACCATAAATTGCTTAAACTAATTCTTTTTATCCACTGTAGAAAGAAACAAAACAATTTTTGCTGCTGATATGTACAGAATAAAATTTTGTATAATAATCAATCATTAAATAAATAACTTTGATTACATCCAAGCATATTACAATCATACATAAACTTGGTATTATGTTAATATTTGCTTTCCCTCTTTACATTATTAGCAGTTAAAAACAATTTCTGGTAACACTTCAATGTCCTGGCATTCATAAGCCAGGATAATGACAAATTCGCCATTTTATAGCATATAACTTTACTTTAATTTAATATTTTGACCGAAGACTTTTATATTCTGCAGAAAATAACAGTATTTCTTAAAATAACTCAGATAAATCTATGTAGTTTTTGTTATTAATGATTTCAAGAAGCCAGGAAAATGACAGCATAAAAACCTACTCACCTTGAAAAAATTTTTGAAATAGATTTTGAGTCAGAAAATTGGTTCTTTATTTATGCAACAAGACATGTTCAGATAGGAGGGTATCTAACCAATCTATTAGCATAAGATATTGATTCCAGGCGCTATCTATTGTGGTTATAAATCACTAAAGAAAAGTAGCCAGGAAAATGACAGATTTTCATGGGACAAACAAATTATTGACAGAAAAAATTATTTTAAACGAAATTTTAGTAAACAATACCCTCTGCGTATATTCTAGAAATGCTTACATAGGATAAGATAAAAAAATTTAGATTTTGAAAAATGTATGGGAAGTTTTGAAGCTATTTATTATTGGAAATATTGTTTGGGACATGCCAGGAAAATGACATTTTGATATTCAATTAAATTTTTTAAGTATACAAAACAGTCAATGCTAGTGCAAAGTCATTTTAAAATGCTAACAGCAATGCTATTTATTAATTTTTTAAATAAAAAGTTCTTTTAGTATTAGATTTTGGAGCAAGGGACAGTGAATTGTCATGTTTCGTGAGAATCACCCATATATAGGTAATGAAAGAAGGTTGGAAATGGTCCGTGACCCGTCAAGAACCAAATGACTTGTTTTGGAGGAATTCTTTTGAAAAAGGTAACATTATTAAGAATTTTGAATAGACATCTTCCTTTGTCTGAATTATTCCATTGAAATTTCCATTTTGTTGAAAGAGAATCTCTAATACTTCGTTTAAGATATGAAACTGGAAGTGGATATGCGTAATTCCTTGATAGTCTCGTAGATTGTTTAGCTAAATCATTTGCTTTTTCATTACCTACTCTATTGCTGTGTGCTTTAATCCAGGAATTTTGTGTTGATGTGCGTTGAAGTTCTTGTTGAATATCAAATGAAAATCTATTATTTGTGCCAAAATCAAGTATTGATGCTTTTGAGTCTGACCAGATGATATAACAATCATCATTATTGAAGTTCTCAGTGCTCTTAATATATTTAATGCATTCAAGGATTGCCAACTGTTCGGCTTGAAAGATTGAATTTTCCCTGTCTAAGGTGCAACTTTGTGAATGTGTAACATTGCTAATTTTCCACTAAGCATTCTCAGTATGTGCACTGTCCATTTCCACCTTCACTTAGCTATATCAGCTTCTATTTTATATTATAACAGTTGTTGAACAGCCAACCCAATTTTTTGGGTTTACTACTACTAATGTTCAATTTCGCAGCCTTGAAATTTTGAACCCAATCCAGAAGACAAAGGAACTTCTGGATCAAGTATGGGGAGGAATTTGCCTTCGTGGAGAACTTTTTGATAGAACTAACCCGCATTTGCTTTACGTGGAGAGGAAAACCATGGAAACCTCCCACTATTAGCCCGATGGCAAGGAGACTCTAACTCATGATCCATCTACCACTGGAGATATTTTACATCAACACTGTGGTTAGTGCAAGCCGGATGCGGAATTCGTATCGAACAGCCGTAGCTGGGATTCGAACCCGGTTCACCTCATTGGAAGGCGAACACTTTATCCCCTGAGCCATCATGGCTCTTTAAACTTCTATTGTAGTGACGTTTGCTTTTTTTTAATATTGTTCATTTGGAAAGTCTCAAGTTTTTGTAAGTCTCACTTTCTTAGGCCTCATTTTTCAGCTTAGCTGACTTCTGCAAAAACAACGAAAAATTCCAAATTAGAAAAACACGTATTCTTGGTGTATAATTTGTTGCAATACAAATTACAAGTGATTTATGCACTTGAAAACTAGAGATAAAAATTAGAATGGGCATTGAAGTGATTACATATTGACACATAATAGTGTTTTCTATTATTCTCTTATCAGCTTCTTGAAATTCTTTCTACTCTGATTTTTTTAATTCGAAGGAGCTCTGAGAGATAGCTTCCGTTTTAATTTCCGGTTGAGCAAAAATTCCATCAAGGGTTAATATCTGAATCATTGTGCTGCTTGCTCCACTTTAGAATTTTTTTTTTAAATCGAATTTTATTTTAGCATTTGAGATTATCAGACGCTTTTCTCTTTAAGTATGATTGTCAAATATCATTTACAAGTTCACATTATCATGTAAAAGTTTTCAAAAGATTACACTAGTTTTAAAAATCCATGTAAAATAATAATAATCTAATTGCAAACCAAGTGGGTTTATGGAGATTAATTCTCCACCATTTCGTGGTGAATTAATTATTATTATTTTTTTACAATAATAAACTTTGTTTGACTCAGTTGAGGCAACACCTCTTAGAAGAAGGAAGGCCTCAGCACGGATCAATTTAGTAGTCCGATGTAACGAAGTTAAACTGCGCAGTAGATGTAAGATGAGTACCAAGCATGCTTGGGAACTAAACACTGGGGTTTCTCGTTCGGCTGACCACCTAACCGGAACATCTGCTCCTGCATCCCAGAGCCCAAGGACAAGAAAACTGAGATGGGCACAGTAGGCCTTGGCCCTCTATGGGCTGTCATGCCACTGAGTTTAGTTTAGTAGTTGGATGTAAAATAAGAAAGAAGTCATTTACGTTCAGGGTACTAAGCTGCGCAGTGGTGGAAAGTACGAAATATGTCATTACGTTTGGACTACTAAAGAATCAACTGTCTTATTTATGGTAACCCGTGCTGAGGCCTGCTCTTTTCTAGGAGGCGTTTGTTGAGGTCGCAGACAAAATTAGATTAAGGAAAATAGTGCGACAGCTTCACTTTCTATTTTCAGCCACCAGGCTCACAGTGAGAGCTAAGTGTCTTAACTACTGAGCCATCGCGTTTCAGTGTGAAGTTTTAATTCTATCATAAAAAAGCTTTAACACAAGTTTTAAGAATTTGATCGCATGCCGTTCATTTAAATCCATTTAAGATATTCTAAAAACTCAATAAGAGGTTAACTATATGTTACCTTCCTATATGAACTTTTCATATCCGCCGTTAAATAAACTGATTTTTGAAAAGTTTAATCTCTTAGCTTTGATTAACTTCGCCATCGATTCGTCAGGGCTTGATAACGCTCTCATAGTATCTTAGCGCGAAATAATAATTTGCGCTCAACTACAAGCATGGCTTTTATTTTAATAACGTTATTAAAAACAAATTTAGGTGATTATTAAACTCAGCTTGTACACGTTCTTAATGAACTGTAGTTTTCAGATAGTATATTTCAGTTAGCTCGTCTTGAACAAAGTAATAATTTACTAAAAACTCTTAGTCACATCATGTTGATGAAAAATTAGGATATTTAACTAGTAATCAAACTAGATTTTTCTTTTCAAAAGTTTTTTTTAAAATGGCTTTTAGTATACTTATAGTATAAAATTTTTACTTTAAAGGCTTATATCCTGCCAGACTTCTAATACTCTTTATTTCTCCAAAACTCAGTACATCACTTCCTTATTAATTTTAAAATACTCCGAAAAAAATATATTTATATTTTCTCACATTCCAGTTACAGTAGAAATATAAAAATAAAAAAAAAATGCATCCGGTTTATTTAAGTTTTTTTGTTCATTTATGTTAATTTTAAAACCATTAAAAATAAAATGTCTTTTAAGAAAAATAATTTTTTACGCCTCCTTCTCTTTTATTCTTTTAACCAAGATTCTAAGACCACAAAAGCTGCTTGTAAAATTTGTGCTGAGTATGGAGAGAGTGCCATAGATGAAAGAACCACTAGTGATTGGTATGACAATTTTAAAAATGAAAATTGTAATCGCAAATACGTACATAGTTCCGACCGTCCAGTTTATTCGACAAATAACGATTCAACCAACTTTTGAGCGAAAATCCAGAGAAAATACAACACTGCAACACTTTAAATTTTTAATAAATTTAACGAAAGGAATTTGATCGCTAACCCAAAGTAAATTTTAAAACAAAAGTTGAAAATTAAATGCGATGCTCTGTATAAAACGGATACTAAAATTTCACGAAACTTTCTTCGTTTTTGACGAAACCGTTTTCTGGTATATGCTCAGAGCGAACATTTCGTCAAGTAACAAAATAACTATCGTCCCTTCTTCGAGGAAATAAATTCCGTCAATATTAAAGAAATATTTCGTCATTCTATATTTTTTCTTCCAAAAAAGAAAAAAAAAAAAACTCGTAGCTCCTAGCTTTTCTCATAATCTATCGAGGGCACCATATAGCTGGGTTAATTTTACTTTAATAACACAAGAAAGACCAATAGAACAGAAAGAAAAATTACACCAAAGCCTGAAGCGGGATTCGAACTCGGTATCTTTCTGGTACAAGGCCAGCTATTTGACCACCATTCAGTCCAGTGGGTTTATTGCGACACTTTATTTTCGATTGTCCAGTCTCAAACCCTGTTTCATCATTCTAGTTAACAATCTCCCACAATGCACTACGATGAGGTTTCGATTTGAAGAAACATTTTCGTCTTATATTTGATAATTCCCTTTTCATCACAAATCACGTGATTTTGTGACGAAATAATTCTTAAAACTAACGAAAGGGAATGCTGAACAGTAAGAGTTTTATTTCTGAGAGTGTGCAAAGATATCTTAATAATCCGAAATATTGTTTGTTGATCTTTTTTTTAAATAATTTCAAATTGATTTCTTTATAGAAACTGTCCTTTTAGAATATTGTTACAGTTAATTACAACATAAGTAACTTAAATTAAATTAACTTTAATTAAAATTTTGAAAAATACTGAAAATTTTATTTTACCCTACTACGCTGTAGATATTTATCTTGAATTCAATTTGTTTTTATAACAAAAGTACTTAAAGTTGTTTATTGCTTTCAAAAGAAACATGTAATTCTTCCTAACCTATTAATTGGACTCATACAGTTCAAAAGTCATCGCTTTTACCCGATGTGAATTATTATTAATTTATTTCACAAGGTTATTAATTAATAAAATTGCTTTAAACTTTAAACTAGAACGTGTGTTATATTTTATCCAATAATTATAAACACAACATAAAAATTAAAAATTTATTTAAACAACAAAAAACTTTGATTTTGATATCACAACATGATGAACAGTTAATATGTTTTCTAAGAAATTATTTTATTCAGGGATTCAATGACGAAAAATGAAAATATACAATGAAAGATGTAGTCAGGTAAAATAAATTTTTAACCACTATGCAAAATATAAAAGTAACGATTATAAAAGTAGCAATTATAAAAATATTAAAAAAAGAAAATAAAGTATTGCACTTTTTGCATAATATGGAGAATTTGTATAAAAATTAATTGACCTCTACACTTTCTTACGCTGTATTGCATAAATATGACACAGGAAACATGGCATAAAATCTTGCATATGGGTGACAAAAAAAAATATAAACACTTAAAACGTCGACTGATCTTAAATGTCTTTATTCTTTAAATAATAAAACCAGTTTAATTGCCAGAGAAAACGGGAATAACTTGAGGGGTGATATTAGAAACGCCTCCTAGTTTCAGTCAATCAGGTATTTCTGGTTTTCATTAGATTTTCTGACTTTAATACTAATTTCTGACAGATAATATGCGTACTTTCTTTTACTTAATTTTTGAAAGGGATCCCAAAAATCTAGAAGGCGCTGATCACAGAATACCTTATATAGTAATATATAGTTTTCGTCTTGACTAGACAAAAATAAAATGTATTTAATACTTATAAACTATAAAATAAAATAAAAAGTAAATTCAATTCTATGTCTGCGATTTTTCTGAAATTGAAAAATAACTAAGTTTGGATTTCGCCCTATTCTGCTTTTAAATTTGTCTTAAACTCTATTTGAAATTGCTATTACTAAAGAAAATCTGCTGAACAAGTTTGATTATCAGCAGTCTAGTAAATGATATATCAAATTTCATATAATTATAATTTTACAAAAAGTACAAAAATAATGAAATAAATATTTTAGGTAATAACAATAACTAACTCAAAAATTCAGAAAACCTCATATCATTAAATTAAATAAAACAAACATTTCAAATTATAAACAGTTTTAAAATAAATTTATGCATTTTCATGTGATTATAAGAGAAGAAAATAAAATTAGCAATTTCAAGTTATCGATAATTTTGTTAGTTTTATAGAATTTTTTAAATATTTATTCTTTTTCCACATCACCATAATTTAGGAATATTGAATAAACATCTTCAACAACCACCAAAATATTCATTTTAGTATATATGCATCATAGTTTACGAAAATTAAGTAAACAACTTTAATTATCAACATTTTTTAGAAGTACATAATTTATATCACAATTTTAATTAACTAATTAACAAACTCTAAAATACCAACTTGAAAAATTAAATATTTTTTCAAACAAAAATTATCCAGTTTCACATCCACAAAATTTAAAGCACAATTTCTTTATCACTCTGAATCTATATCACATTTTTTTTTTATTTTCTAAACGTATAAATAATATTATATATAAAATGAATTATTTTCTAAATATATAAAATGTAAGATTGTTTTTGATTTTAATTTCTGAATGTTTCACTTTTTTTTCATAATTGAAGAAAAATGATATTAAATTAAAACAAAAATTCTTAGAAATTATGAAAAATTGTTATGATAGTTGTTGATCTCCATGTAACATAAACTGAATCATGAACTATTTTTTAACAAAAATTTGCTAATGCTGCTTTTCACTGGATTATTATTGTGCATGGTAGTTTTGTACTTTTTAATTGAGCTATAAACATTTATTTTGTACTGATGTTTTGTAAATATGCTTTGAAATAAAATATTTGAAAAAAATTTCTTTCAAAACCCAATGTAACTCCGAATCACATTTCAGAGAACAGAACTTATATAATTTTATTAAAAGCAACGAAAAAATTAATAAAAAAATTAATTAATTATTCAAAATCTATAAAATAATAATTAATTAATTAAAAGAATTTGGAAGTTTGTTGATTTTTGCATGAAACATTTAAATTCACACATAATAATTTTTTTAAATAAATTAACTTCCAAATTTTAGTTTTAATTACAAATTTTTAATTACCGTTACTTTTTGATTTTAATTTTTTACCTGCTTTAAACTTTAGTATTTAGAATAAATAAAAAATACTAAAGCTCAGTAGTTGAATTAAATATGTTTGCACATATACATGTTGCATTCCTCTCATTTTGAAAAAGGCTTTATTTCACCAGGTCTGAAGCACTTCTTTTAAATTCGAAAGAAAAGAAAAAATAAGCAAACCAACAACTTGAGACATTCGTTTTTAAAACTTAACGTATTAAATATTTAGATTCATTACATCGAGGTACCTATCATGAAAGTTGAATTTTTAATAAGATCTGTTCTCCGTATACACGCAGAACATTGAAAATCTGATGTTAAAATCAAATTAGGATTGCCGAGATTTTGCATTTTGTACTCATAGCTACAGACAAGTAAACTCAGTCAAAGAATCAAAACCTTCCACCAATTGTTCGAGTTGTATTCTTTCTGGTGCATTCCACATTATATTCTCCTCAAATGAGTCCATAAATAATACTTTTCCCAAAGTTCCTTGGTTCAAATCAGGTTCTGGTAACTTTGGTGATAATGGCGAAAGTTCGTTATTGTTAATGTCAACCATAATCTCAAAAAAGTTTTGATGAGAAACTAGATCTTCATCTCTGGTTTGGTAAAATTGGACTGCATTTGGTTTGGAGAATTCCGGAGCCTGATTTGCGAATTGAAATTGTTCAGGTTCGAAAGTAAAAAAGTCATTAATGTCTAATGCAGGGACTTCTTGCGCTGGTGACATCGAAGAAGATAGACCATTTGGGGAACTTATAAAAGAGTTCCAAGCTGAATGTCGTGTATCGTCATTTAACATTTGAATTGGACTACATGGGCTAGAAGGGAAATGTGGCGATGAAACTCCATAAAATGATTCATCCATAGAGTTATAAGCTGGACTTGGTGGGTTGGAATGAGCAATTGGAGATGGAATTCTGTACGTTGGGTCATTCATAGAAACCGAGGTTCTGAATGATCCTATAGGAAGAAAAAAAAATATAGTTTAATTAAATGAGAAGAGTTCTTATAATAAAATTGTACACAAGTTCAGATATAAAAAAAAACAATTTGAAGTTTTATAAAACAGATTTCATCGTAGAGTAATCGAGAATAATAGAGCAGTCATTTTCTGAGGTAAATTAGGGAGATTGGGCCAGTTGGAGCAGTCCTTTTCTGATATTCATTTGCACGATTTTTATTTTCTGTTATCGTTTTAAAAATATTTTAGATCTTCACATCACTTATTTCTTTTCAATTTCACGTAAGAACCCGAGGCCATAAGATTTCCGGATCAAACTATAATATAAAGTTCTGGCACTTTTTGGTGCATCATCAGTAAAACCCTAATTTACCTCAAACTATTTTTTACCGTAAAATAGTATACTGTAATTTTTACAGTAATATTTATTTAATTAGAGTGAATCAGTGATTTTACAGTAATTATTACTGTAAAAATTACGATATATCATATTTTTTATTGCATAACATGCTCCATTTAAAATGGATTTTACGGTAAAAAGTACCGACACCCTGAGCGTTGGTTCTTTTTACCGTAATTTGAACCGAATTTTTCTTACTGTGCGTCTCTAAATTGAGTTTTACAGAAACCTACATGTTCTTATATATTTCTGAAAAAGCTATGCCACGGTACCAATAACATTCTAAGCATTTATAATATAAAACAATTTATCCGTAATAAAAATCCAAATAGAAAAGGAAAATAGTAATGAAGAATAAATGGCGTCATAATAAATGTTTTACTGAAGAAAAAAAACGAGTAACCGAACAATAAACAATTTTTGTTTTAGACAATTACTATAACTACTTATTAAAGATAGACAGCATTTGGTAGTTAAGCATTGTTAGCAATTAAATTTATTACTTTTATTTACTGTTAACTTTCTAAAACATTACATGTTGAACCATTTTTTCATTAAAATACTTTTTTATTTCAATATGGATACTTTTACTAAATAACTAATTTACTAAATAACTAACTAAATAGTTAATACGTAACACAAGATAGTACTTTTAAGTAAGAGATTTATTAAGTACATTTAATACTTTTTTCATTGCAAAACCAGTTACATTTACTAAAGTTGCTGCAAATTCGAAGAATATTGTTTACAACCAAATGATGAAAAAGAAATGAAGTTACAATTATTAGATTGAGCTGTAACAGCTAAGCATGCTGTACAAAATACTTAAATTAGCAATATTTTTTTTTTTTTTTTTTTTTAAAATTGGAAATAAGTTAAAACCCTCGCTGACACTCTGTAAGAGAAACAAAACGAAAGCAAACAAAAGAAAAAAGAAAATTTTACTTGACGCAATGTGTTTTCATTAATTTGCCTTCATATCGGTATGCATTAGCCGTATGTTTTCAATGTATTTCAATTTCGAGGAAGCTAAAAATATTGAAGTAACACGCTAGGAAGACGAGGGTTTTTAGTAACACATACAGAAAATATACTGAAAGAGTGCCTAAAAACGAGGGTTTTTAGTTACACATCCCTTTTTTTTTTTGTAATAATGTGCACAATTGGAATCATTATAAACATAAAGATATCTAACCTAAATTTGAAACATTCACTTCTGTTTGCTTCAATGGCGAAGAGGGTGGACTTACATGAAAAAGAGTTGCGCAGGGTGGCAAAGAACCATATTCATCTGGGAAAAAAAAACGAACAAAATGTAAGTACTAATAGTCTTCTTCTAATCATCAAAACTACACGAAGAAAAGAAATCAGGTAAAATTACCGCACTTGTATGGTAATGGCGTTTCTGGTAAAAAAAAAAAACATAATTCCGGTAATAAAACTAAAAGAAACGGTATTTAAAGTATTCATTTGCTAATTTTTCTGTTCGTATGGTAACGGTTTACTGGAATTCTAGTTTTCAAAATTATAGTTTTAACTACCATATATTTAGTAAAAATACAAAATTGAAAATTAAATTTTACAGAATAAATGGTAAAAATGTATGCCATACTGTAAGATATTAGGATAAGATTGTCCAATTTTACTACCAAACAGCATGGTAATAAAACCATCAACCATGGTAATAAAACCATATCAACCATCATTTATCAAAAGGAACCTCAAGATAGAATCAAGTTAACATGTCTTATATACTAGTAAATTGGTATTTAATATTTATAGTGGTAGTTACGCCACAAGCTATATTTTAGTGTTAATTTTAGTATAAGTCATTATCAAAGCTTTTCGGTATATAGAGCAAGAAACACGCAAAATGTCCCTATATTCTGGTAATTTTAACCATACTTTTTTTCTCAGTGTACATATTTAGTTTAAAATTACATGGTTATCTTATTTAAAGTAAAAAAAATATTTTTAAGTATATGTACAATCACATGGCGACACACAAATTTATACACTTTACCTTGGAACACAGAGTGGCTACTGGAAGATGGAGGTGGTTCCTGAAAACTTATATCATCATCAGGCTTACACTTGGCATTTTTCTTACTTCCCCTTTTTTGCCTTGGTTTTCTCTAGAAACAAAACAAAATATCAATCTCTAATGTGCTCTTAACATTTTTTACATACAGTAATTTAAGAAGGGAAAAACATAGTCAACTAAGTTATATAATATCTAACTGCTGTTATAATTATAATAATTATACAGGCGCAATTATACATGCTGCTGCGCAATCACGTATGATTATTAAATTGTTTGAGAGCTATCTTTTCCTCACTGTGTTTTGATTAAGAACAAAAAATTTATATTCAAAATAAAAAATATGAAGCGATATTTTAAAGACTTAATTTTTAAGAGTGTTGTCCAGTAATCAAAAGCAGTTGAAACTTATAGTAGTTAAAAGTTTGTGCAAGTAAAAATTGAAAATAAAAAAATGTAGCACGGGTGCTTCAGTAATTGTAAAGAATTGATAGTAATTTTTCGATAAAAAAATAAATAATTTTGTGAAAAAGTTTTTAATAATTGTAATTACTATTTTTTATTAACAGTGGCTTTATTGTTCAGGAAAAGCCATTATTTTAGATGATTCTCATTACATTGTAAAAAATTCCACGTCAAATTCCACTATAAAGTATCGGCACTTTGGGTGCATCATCGGTAAGAGCCATTTTACCGTAAAATATTATACCGTAGTTTTTACAATAATATTTATTTAAGTGATGCAGTGATTTTACGGTAATTATTATTGTAAAAATAAAGGTATATCAGATTTTTGTTTTGTTCTGTAACAGGTTCCGAAAATGGATTTTACAGTAAAAAGTACCATCACCGTGAATGCCAGTACTTTTTACCGTAATTGGATCAGAAATCTTTTACAGTGTAGAAAACCATGCATCTTTTACTTAAATGAATTGCATTGATTAAGTAGATAAAATATTAATAAATACTACGAAATATAAAATTTTATATGCATACATACTTGCAAAACGTAGTTTTATTTTAATTACATTTAATTTTTATTACTTCGGAATTCATAAAATATTTGTATTGTGTTTTTATTAGTGAAAAATTACTTACCTTATTATTGGTATTATTGGTTGTTTCCCTTGTTTGCGGCTTTATTGGTTCCTCTAAAAAAGGAAGAAAAAAAGATTATAACTCACATGGAATTAAAATAATTTGATTTAGTTTTTAAATCATATACATTTGTACCTAATTATATTAGCTTATTGAAAATTAGGAGCATTTTCTGGAGAAAAAAAAGCAAATGATTTCTTTTCTAACATGTTCTGAATTATGATTAAAAAGTTTAAATTATAAAAACATCAGTATATCGCTTTAATAAGCATAGAGAAAAAAAATATTTACGCATCATATCACCTCTTAATTGAATTTAAAGTCAAGCTTTTTTTGTTTTTATTTAATTACTTGTAATTTTTTTTATAAATTCTGGTGTTTTAAACTTTTTTAAAATTGTTATTATTCTGTAATTATTCATAAATATTCCAAATTTAAATTTTTGCAAGCAAATTCAATTATTTTATAATTTTGAGTTTAAATTTTGTTTTTGATATTTTAATTAAATTATCAACTTCATAATTCATTAAAAGTACAACTTAAATGTACAACTCGAACCACGAAGATTTCAAATTTGGGCACGGAAACCAATAACTACATGGAAAGCTATTCAGGATATTCTTCTTTTTTTTTTCAACATTTTTGTTATAAAGGGGTGTTTTGATTAATTTTTTTTATCTATGATAAATTCAGCAATTAACTTTAACTAACAGCAGTTATTAAACTAAAACTAATGATCAGCATTCCATATGATGAATGGAAGATGAATGTCTGTAAGAGCTGGTAACTGAATGTATTTTCTACACTGTAAAAAATTGCGGATCAAATTACGGTAAAAAGAAGTACTGGCACTTAAGGTGGCGCTACTTTTTACCCTAAAATCCAATTTTAACTGAACATGTTATGAAACAAAAAATACTATAATAAATTTTAATTTTTACAGTAATGATTACCGTAAACTCACTGGATCACTTTAAATAAATAAATATTACTATAAGAATTGTGGTATAATATCTGACGATAAAAATGGATTTTACAGCAAAACGGATTTTACGGATGATGCACCCAAAGTGTCGGAACTTCATACCACAATTTGATCCGGTATTTCTTAGCGGACAGAAGAGAAGGGACAACAGAACTTTTAACAGAAGGGATAGCGGATCAATAACTTTCTCACATATTTTCTGCTTCATACGTTGGTTGTTATACTATTGAGTTAAATTGGGATCTTTAAGACAAAGCAATAACTATTTCAGTTTTAGTCAAGTTTTAGCTATCTCAAGATTTAGTTTAGTTTCAGATTAGTTTTAGTTTAGCTTTAGTTCTCAGGATTTAGTTTAGATTTAAGTTTAGTCTTAGTTATCTCAAGATTTAGTTTCTTCAAGTTCTAGTTTATCCTAGTTTCTTCAAGATTTTATGAAACAAGAGGGAATTTCAGGTAACTGAAGTACAGGTGAATTACTTTAGGAAGATCAAATGAAAAACACGGCATAGCATTTTATCAAAAAGCTTAAGCAAGTATACGAAATCTTTTTGCATATTATCTTGAGTTTTAACAAGCATTCCAGTTTCATAAAAATATTGTACTGTATGCTCAAACTTTTGGCTTACTTAATATTTGCCAAATCCTATGCTCTTTTCCCTTTACAAGTAATGTTAAACCATTCTTCTTGCTTCTAAAAGCGTTTCTGAAGGCAGCTTTAAGATCACGGTCATCTTTTTCTCCTGATTTCTCTAAAAAAAATTAATAATAATCGTAAATATAACTCTACTAACTCTAACTGTATATGATATTATAAAGTATTTCGATTTAAAAATCATCATCAAATAATAAAAAAAGACTATTTTAATGTAAACAAAAATGTTCCATTCGACAGAAGAAAATTAAGACTCAATCTAATTTTTGTCGAAATTAGTTTCACATAGATGTGATTAAAATTTTTGTTTACCGATGTCTGCGCAAGTCAAATTTATACAGCTTATTTTTAAAATAAGCAATCTTTATTTGTGAAAAGTTTTCAAAAAACGAAAACTTCTCCTGTTTAGTAAAGTTTTTTATTGAAAAAATTGTTTAGAGCAGTTATCATAAGATAATATGTAGGGAAGCCCTACCGTCGTCGAAACTAAGTCTCACCAATGATGTAGAGTTGGAAAAAAGAAGAAGAAAAAAAACCGTGCGAAAAATGAAAAATCTTAGTCTATAACATAAAAAAAAAACATTAAGGGACTGTTTTTGATCAAAACCATTGAAATAATGATTATCGTGCAAATAAAAAAACTGTACAAGTGCAGTTTCGGGGAAAAGTGGAGCAGATTATTTTTTTCTTAAACAGAGTACAAATATGGAAGGTTTTTTATTTGCGTCGCGCTAAACCTGCAAAATGGGCTATTGGCGACGGTCTGTGAAACATCCACGAGGATGATCCGAAGACATGCCATCACAATTTTGATCCTCTGCAGAGGGGATGACTCCTTCGCTTTGGTAGCCCGACAAACTGCGCACGAAGTCGAGCACTTCACGGTAGAACAGTTTACCGAGGACCGATGCCGGGCACCCTCTGTCCCTTCGTAATCTAACCAAAGTGGTCACCCACCCACTTGCTGACAGCAGCCAGTGATGCTTGACTTCGGTGTTCTACTAGGAACCGTGTCTTTACGATCAGTCCACAAAGGGACCAAAGTATAAATATAAACGTCATGTTTCAATTTCAATAAATATTAACTACAAGAAAAGAAATTACCTTTGTATTCCGCCCATTTTTTGAAGACAGCTGATTTTGAAGCGTTCCAATTTGCTGATGACTTATGAATCCACGAAAGAAAGAATATCTTTTGAGATCTGTTAACCCACCGTATAAGCTCCGAATATTCTCCACTATCACAAATTTCCTCAATCCAAGGAATAAGCAATTTTAAGCCCTTAGCTTCTCTCATTCTGGCCTTTCTGAAAAATAAATATTTAAATTATAGCTTTTACACTGTGGTTTTTGAAATTAACTCAGAAGACAAAGAAACTGTTAGGTCATTGAGAGAACTACACTTCATTGTATAATTGTAGAAGGCAATTTATCCTTATATCGAAGATAAAAAAATGACTTAAATGAAATCATGAATAGTTGCTAATGCAAAAAACAATGGCAATAAAGCCCAAATGAAAGTACATTTTTGCACTTTTATTTGTTAATATTCATGTTGTTATTTTATTTTCGCTTACGTAGCACATAGTATTACCCTTTTCTGTTTCGGACATGAATTGTTATTTCAAAATAAAATCAATATTTGACTCGTTAAAACGGATAAAAATGAATGGTTTTATAAAAATAGCAAAATTATTTGCCTGAATAAATTTTTTTTCTTGAATTGAAAAATAACTTAAATTTTTTGACTTAATGCTGAGTTTATAAAAAATATTTGAAAAAAGTAAATGTTATTAAATGAGACTTACTGACAGAGTGTATCTATTGTTCTTGCATTTGGATCGAAGCAGTAAAATATAAAATATTTTTAAAATGTCTCTCATAAAAGAATGCGTCCTGAAGAGAACCTATACGTCTATTTCATTAAAATTTTTTGTATTTCAAATTCAATAATATATATATATATATATATATATATATANAATAAATGAATCTGTATATATTTTTATATATATATATATATATATATATATATTATTGAATAATTGATCATAAAGCTGATTCATACGATCATTTCCGATTTTCTAAATTTCAATTCAAAGGACTATTTCCAATATATTAAGCTTTAATTCCCACGACAATTTACCGAATGCTAAGTTTCTGTTTTCAATTCCATTTTCAATATATTTAGATCTAATTTACTAGATTATTTGTAATAAATTAAGCTTCAATTGATAGGACTATTTCCGAATGGATAAGTTTAAATCACACAAATATTTCAAATACGCTCAGTTTTACTTTAGACGACTACTTTCAATATCGTAAAGCTTCAGTTCACATCGCTATTTTCAATATGCCAAGTTCCGATTCTCACAACTATTTTCAATATGCTACATTTTAATTCAAGCTATTATTTCCAATACGCTAAGTTTCACTTCAGATCACTACTTTCAATATCATAAGGCTTCATTTCTTAACACTATTTTCAATATGCTAAGCTTTATTTCTCACCACTATTTCCAATTTATTGCACTTTAACTTTTCACTGGGATTATTCCAATATACTAAGTTTCACTTCACACGATTGTTTGTAATATTTAAGCTTTAATTCACAATACTATATCCACTATTCACAGCAGAATTTTAACTGTCTTTTGAAAATAAATTTAAAAATATTCTTTTTATGAAAATAAAATCAAGTTTCGCAACACAAGAGAGGAAATATAAAATGTTAAGTAAAAAGTTCTAAATTTATTATGATTAACTTTGATAATGATGTATTTAAGGAAATAAGATTTATCAAAAAAGATGTTCTGTATAAAAAAGTTTCATGAATTTTTACATTTCAAAAAAAATTCTAAAATAAAACTAGTACTAGAATTGAATAAATATTATTATAATTAATTTCAAATATTAAATTGATTGCAATATTTCATAAAATACTTAAGTAGTTCCAATTAAGTTTTCATATCATGTTACTAGATAAAATCTTTTAAAATGTATTTAGTTTTTTTACATAAACTTCACTTTTAGCATCATGTGATTATGGAAAACAAAATATTTGTTACACAAGCAATCAACATAACATTTTTTGTAACAAGTCTTTATATGATATAAGAAAACTGAAATTTTTTATATAAGTATTTTTTAAATAAAATAATATTGATTAAATAAAAAAAATAATAATCTAGGGTTCTTGCAGTTGCAACTGCAAGAAATTTCAAGTTATTTTATGATATTTTTGATAAGTTTATTTACTGTTGACTTAAAGATAAGGCGTATTTTCCAGTAAACTTATCATAAAATTAAGGACTTTACTCCCTAATATATACTCATATTTTCGTTAGCATAAACTTAATTGGCCAATCCCATGAAAGTATGTAGCTGTAAATATCCAATCATATCAAGGCTAATTGTTCCTTTTTATCTCAATCCTTTCTCATTGGTGAATAAGGGTAAGGTCAAGTGATAAATTTTTAATCAAAGTTCACTTCCCCTAACTTTATATATATCTAAATTCTGGGCAGATAATGTATATTGATAACATATAATAAATGATAAAGAAATTCCTGAAATTTTTAGAGGATGGCAAATAACTAATCAATCGGTACAATGAATTGGTACACGTGTCATATCATACAACAGTTCATAAATTTTCTTTTAAAATTTGATAAACCAAAATTAATTTAAGAACATTTTATATTTTTTTACGACGCCAACTTGTACCAACAAGAAACGATGTTTTCTATTGGTATTTTTTGGTAGGAAAGGAAACTTCCGTAGGGTAATTTTCGAAGTAATATTCGAAACGTTCTAAATTATTTCGTAAAAGCTACATTTCACAATGCAAAATAAATAAATAAATAAATAAATAAAATAAAAAATAATAAATAAAATAAAAATAAAATAAAATAGTAAATAGAACTAATGTTTTTATTAGAAAATGATAATAATCAGCATTCATAAACGTACATTAATTATTTCAGCAAATTAAGTTACCGAACTAATAAAATAACGATTAAAAAAACTTTTTTTTAATAATTTTTTTTCAACGGATTTTTTTCCTCCAATTTTGAAAAATTTTGAATTTGGCAAGTTAGAGACCATTAGAATCGAAATATTTTCATAGTTTTCCATAGTTAAATCCGCAGTCGGAATCAAAATTCATGCTGACGATTTTATTTTTGTAACGTCATTACGTAACTTTTTAAGTTCATTTCATTGTAGCTTAAATTTTTCTAAAATCGTAATACTTTAGTAAAAAATTATATGCTCAATTACAAAAAATATACTTTCCTTAAGAAAAAAATATCTATGAAACTAACGAGAAAAAAAGTATGGTAAATACACCATACTTTTTAATAATGACATTTTTGTTAAAAAAGACCTTAATTCTGGTATTAAAAGCGAAAATGCAATGTATTTAGACCATTCATTTGGTAATTTATTAGTTCAAATGGGCTACCGAAAATTCTGGCTTTCAAAATTGTAGTTCTTATTACCACACATTTAATTAAAAATACAAAACTGAAAAGTGAATTTAACCGAATAAATGGTAATGTCATGTTCTAAGGTATCATGATAAAATTACCAAATTTTACCACATTTACCAAGTTTTATCACATATTTATTATAAAACCATATTTTTTCTTAATTTTACCAAAACGCTTCAGTAAAAATTACCGAAATTTTGAAGCTTCTGCGGAGTCAGAAACACCAGTGAATTTTACCATATTTTCGTAGTTTCGGCCATACTTTTTTTTCTCAACAAAACTTTGCAAACTTTGAAAGACAATAAAAATTTAATTTTTTTTAAAGATTCAAATAATATGTCTAAATAAATTCCAAAAATCAGTTTTTAGAGAAATTATAACAGCATATTTAGTATTGAGTCAGGGGTAATAGAAATTAAACTCAACACTTTTTTAGAAATTATATTTTTCAACCTTGTCTGTCTGATATTTTTGCAACATTTGATTCTTTTCCAAAGTTGATTCAAAGAGATTTATGGCGGATAATTTTATGTTATTTTTAAGCCTCAATATTAACAAAAGGATCCAATTTCCAAAATTTTTTAAGCAGGATTTTGAACTTTGTTTCCAAACTACCTAGTATAAAAATTTTTACGTGTTCGCAAAATTTCCGACAGATATCTTTATTTATAAACAATTTGTTCAAAAGAAAAAAAATAGAAGTGTCAATAAAACACTTTTAAGAAGTTATTCATGGGATGAATAGAAAGAAAAGACCTTCTAAACGGCAATTTTTTTTAATCAGTAATTTTTTTAATAAGAAATTAAGAATAAAATGGATTTTTTTATTTTTAGACTGATATGAAAAATGCATTTGTTAACGTTATAATATATCATTCATGCATTGCGTTAAACTTATTGAAATTTAATCTAGATGCTCACAGACTTAAACATTATAAAAAACACGTACTAATACTGATTTATCTTTTTGTATTTATTTTTTTTCCTCTTCTGAAAAAATTCAAAAACAGTTCAAAACCACTCTTTCAAGAATCGTGAGGTTTTTCAAAATAAGTGTCATTTCTAATTTTTTTAAAATTTTTTTTAAAAATAATAATGGAGCAAAAACTTTAAATCCAGAATTAAAAAGTACTTTTTAGCTAATTTTCTATTTTAAACACTATTTATGCAATAGATATTCACTGTTCTTTATAATTCACTTGAATCTAACTTCATTAATTAACTATACCTAAATATGCGAAAGACTATCGAATTCATTTGAGCAAATGGTTTCCAAAGTTGGTATTTTTGACATTTATCTATTGTAATTAATTTTGAAATTTTGTTTTGCAAAAAAATATGATGCATGAAAATTCTTTTTCGTATTATAAAAAACTTTTCATCATTAATTTATCTATAATAAATTTGAAGATTAACATGTTTATTTTTAAAACAAAAACGAACTCAGCAGTTACATTTTATTTCAAAGTATGTCAAAATTATCTTTCAAATTTCGTAGAAATTATCATCATATGATATTAATACAAAATTATTTAACTAACCAAAAATATTCTAGCAAATATTTTATTCAAAAGCAAAGCTTTAAAAGGAATGATTATAACACTGCATTGAAATTGATAAAATTTCAAAATCGTTCACACAAGAAAGAAAATCGTTTATTTATTTATTTTTCGACCAAAATTTTCCCTATTATTAATAACTGTTCAGAAAATAATTCTCACGGTAATTCATTTCATAAAATAAATTATGTTAACAAGAGTAAAGTGGATAAAATTTAAAACATACTTTTAAATACGGTAATAGTAACGATAGTA